GGCAAGGACCCCAGCTGAGCCTAGCCAGGGAGGGCAGAGGTCTGGAAGAAGATGCCAGGTGGGTAAGGCATCTGCAGGGCACATGTGCCCTCGGCCAGGCCGGAGACCAGGAGGACAACACAGGCTGGATAAATGTGGGCCCAGCTCCTCAGGGCCACCCACAGCTCTAAAGTCAGTCCTGACTCCCAAGTTGAGCCCAGATGCCAAGCTGGGAAGCATGGAGACGGACAAGGGCAGGCGTCAGTACGTGCGGCTGAGTGACACTGCTCAGCATGGACCTTGGCTTCTGCAGGCCAGGCCTCTGCCCACTGGGTACCCACAAAAGATGCCAAAGTCCCACTTTCGGGAACACACGCTGGTGCCTAAGAGAAGCTTAGGGCTGAGAAAAGGAAGCTGTAGGAAGACATCACTTCCTCTCCTGCCAAGGTTCCTCCTAGCAGCATTCTGATTTGTCATGGGTGGCAGGAGAGAGCCAGCAGGGGCAGGAGTTTCTGCTGCAAGCAACGCTCCAGGCAGACGAGGCTCTAGGTGGCCTCACCTAAAGTGAAAACACTGCTGGCCTTGCTCTATAAATAGGTTCTTGGGAGAGTGTTTCCACAGGAGTAGCTCCTGGCAGAAGGAGGGGCTGGCACAGGACACGCTTCCTAATGACTCCCGCAGGCTCTCTGGGCTGGCTCCAGCCTTGTCTTGAGCATGGCCGTGGGGGCCATGGAGGCAGGTTGGATCTTCTAGGGAGGTACTCCCCACAGTGTCCAAGTAAGGGAGCCCAGGGTGCCAGGGCGGCCTGGCTGGGGCAGGCTGAGCCTATCAGGCAACAGGAAGAGGCCCTGTTCCAGGGCAGCAATGCTTACCGGAAGTGGAGCCATGGCCCAGGGCACCAGGACCACCTGGCCTGCCACTGCTGCCTTAGCGCGTGTGGTTTCATCAGCAGCCTGGGCGGGCGGAGCAGGGGTGGTAAGGAGAGAACTCCTGAGGGTTCTCCAGGGGGATTCTGCTCCCCCTTAAACAGCCACATAACAATTAAAGTTGGAGCCATCAGGGGCCCATCTCCAGCAAATCATTTCGGAAATGAGGTTAATGACAGGGCACTGGGGCGACAGGCCAGTGTGACTCACCATGCCCTCACTTGCTCAGCGAGCTGGGCTTCCAGGATTTGGGGCAGTCACAAACACCCACCCCCAAGCCTGTGCTCTCCCCAGAAGTGGCCTTAGTAACAGCAGAAGAGGTAGCCTTAGAGTGCATGCCACCTCAGGTGGAGAGGGGCCCAATCCCTTCTTACCACTGGGACACTCATGGCAGGGGCCATGGGATCAAGAGATGAGAACTCCAGCCACCTAACATTACAGACAGAGGGACCCTGGGACCACGAGCCCCCCCCCATCCCCACTGGCACATGGGGCCAAGTTCCAGGGAAGGGGCCTGAGGCCTGACCCGCTAGGCTGGTGGCAGGATAACATCAATGGTCACACACTGTCCACACTTGCTTGCACCAGCCACTGTAGTGAGTGCCCAATGAGACAAGTACTATTGCAGAGAGGCCCCAAAACGGTCACAGAACTAGTTGGCGAGAGCCAGGGTTTGGACCTGGGCCATGGGTCGGGGGCCTCCTGACCTCACGACTCTGCCCTTGCCCCACAGAGCCCTGTCTCCACCACCACCACTGAGAAATGATGATACTGTGGCAATCAAATCGCAGGACAGAGGGCCAAGGACTGTGCTGGGTGGCAAGATGGCCGAGTTCCCATAGCAGGCTGGTGTGTGCTACCTGAGTCTCCGAAGTGGGTGGTGACCCCTTGATACAGATTGTTAGGGGCTCCCAGGGCGTGGTGACTCGGGTGAGAGGTGGGAAGGCTTGCCACAGGCCGGGGCTGGACTCAGTGGCTTCCATCTGGGAGTTGCCAGCCTTGGTCATCCCAGCCACCCCTCAGCTTCTCCAGCAGGAAGTACACGTTCATCCCTGGAACCCATAGAAACTGGGCAATGGTAGGCAGCAGACTGCAGTTTAAATCAGACATCTATTCTTTTATTTCACATAGGGAAAATTAGGGCATGAAGGGGTTGGGGAGGCGATCAATGGGGAATTGCTGCTGATATGCACTTAACTGACAAAAAGAAATGCTAACCTAACTTCATCTTCCTAACAAAAAAGAGGTTCCTGCAATTTGGTTTTCTGAGAGCTCAGTTACCAAATCCAAAATTAGGAGAGATGACGGCTGAGCTGAGGCATTTGCATTTCCAGAAGGGCTGCTTTTGTACTTGGCAGCAAGAGTGGGGGATCAGTAGCAGCCCCAGCTACAGGGGAGCCATCGGGTAGGGCTGGCAGTGTCGCTTGGGGAGATTCCACAAGAAAGGCTCCATCATGTGGCCCCCACACCTCGCCAAGCCACCTCAAGCCCACCCAGGCCCCACACTCCTCGCCGCCTGTGAGGGCCCTACACTCCCAGGCAGTGTGGTGTGCAGCTCAGGGGTTCTGCAGCATCTCCATGGGGAGGGGGTGGGGATACAGAACTGAGGCTAGAGGGACAGTGTCTACAGCAGTCACAGCTACCTAGGACCCCTGTTTCCCTTCCCCTAGATTCTCAGAGCAGTGAGCTCCGGAGTCAAGCCCCCCATGAGCAAAAAGAACTCAGGAAGAACTTAGCCCCCAAGTGAGAGCTTTAGTGCCTATCCCAACCCCAGCTCTGCCCTCAGCATGCTAATACAAACTGACCCCCTGGCTTTGTGGAGGCAGTTGCTCTGTACTTTTTTTTTTTGAGGCAGATTCTCACTCTGTCACCCAGGCTGGTGTGCAGTGGTATGATCTCAGCTCACTGCAATATCTGCCTCCCAGGTTCAGGCGATTCTTCTGTCTCAGCCTCCCAAGTAGCTGGGACTACAGGTGCGCACCACCACACCCAGCTAATTTTTTTTTGTATTTTTAGTAGAGACAGGGTTTCACCATACTGGCCAGGCTGGTCTCAAACTCCTGACCTCGTGATCGCCTGTCTTGGTCTCCCAAAGTGCTGGGGTTACAGGCGTGAGCCACCACGCCCAGCTTTTTACAATTCTTTTGAGATGGAGACTCACTCTGTCCCCTAGGCTGGAGTCCAGTGGCATGATCTTGGCTCACTGCAATCTCCGACTCCCAGGTTCAAGTGATTCTCCTGCCTCAGCCTCCCAAATAGCTGGGGTTACAGGCATGAGCCACTAAGCCTGGCTAATTTTTGTATTTTTAGTAGACTTGGGGTTTCACCACATTGGCCGGGCTGGTGGTGAACTCCTGGCCTCAAGTGATCTGGCCACCTCGGCCTCCTGAAGTACTGAGATTACAGGCCAAAGGCTGGGATACAGCCACCGCGCCCGGCCTGTGCTGTTTTAAAGAGCAGCATTCCAAGAAGAACATCCTGACCCCAAATTCCAGGTCTGGCTGGTGGCTCCATCAAGGGAGGGGTGGGGACCTGGACCACTGTAGCAGAGCCCTCCGGCAGTCCGTGGAGCTTGAGCATGGCCTATCCAAGCTGGCCCTGGCTCTGGCCTGTCTCCATCTGGACAGCCCATGTTAGGCTGTCCCAGGGCATGCCAAAATCATACAAGAAGTTTGTGGGGGCGAGTCCTCCCTCCTGATCGCTTACATCTAATAACCAGTGGAGCTTCCACTGGCATCAGCAGTTGGGAATAAATACCACACCACTACCCCTAAGACCACCTCCCTCAACTCCACACGTCCTCCAGCAGAAAAAGGTAGATTTCAGAGATTCCAAACTTCATCCTGGTGTAAACTGAAGACAGGGGTGATGGCAATGTTGGTCTGGCCTGAGAGCAAGAGCTGCCACACAATGCTCTGGAGACCCTGCGCATGTCCTGCTGCCCCCAGCGAGGGACCATTATCTGTCTTTGGAGATAACCTTTCCCTGGGCTGGCTGCTCAAATCATCAGAGTCTCCACGTGTGCAGCCCAGGTCTGGAAGCCACAACAGGCAGCCTAGTACTGGTCCAGTGGTAGAAGGGCTGGCACAGGAGGGAACCAACACTACTGGCCCCACAAGTTGCCCCTCCTCTGAGCAGACTGACCTCCAGTTGCCCAGACTCTCCTTCAAAGCCTCCTGAGGTAGCTGAGAGACTTGCTTGCCAGGCTCTTCCACACACCGGCAGGGCCGCATGGGAGAAAAGCAGCGGGTCCCAGCAGCCATCAGAGCACCCTGAGCCAGCAGCATCTTCCCATCGACAGCACAGGGGAGTATGGCATTGACAGCAGGCCCGGTCAATCCAGTGGGACTGGTGGGGATGGGGAGTGATGGGCTTCTCTTGAGCACCTCTCTGCACTGGGCACAGTGCATCACATACCTTGTAACCAGAGGAGTGGGCATCACCACCACTTCACACAGTAAGAACCTGAGATTTGGAGAAGTTAGGTCACAATGCTGAGGTCACACAGCTGGCAACAGGCAGCTCCCAGTGTAGGCCAGACAGGCAGCGTCCCCGTTCTTGTTGTTCATCAAGTCTCATCACAGCTGCCCCCTTGTCAGTCCAAGCTCTTAGACATGCAGGCTCTGCTTTCTCAGAGGAAAGTGGTCCTGACAGCTCCTGGGAAGATCTAATACCATCCTCCATTCCCCAGGGCAGGGCAGGTGTGTTTGAGGAAAGACCTCCCTGGCTGGCTGAGCCCCAAGAAGCCGAAGACAGAAGGCATGGACGACACACAGACACAGGGAAAACACTAGCCCTGGCTTCCTCAGCACAGGTGCAGAGGTCGGAGCCTATGGAAGCCCTCAGGAGACAATGGACACGTGAGTACCTGAGTCCCAACAGAAGCAGCCAGTGGGGGCCAGCCAGAGGGAGGTGGGTGGCATGCAGGGGCTCTGGCTGCCCTAACACCCCAAATAGCTGCAAACAGGGGTATCCTGGCCTCAGAGGTGATCCTGGCGGAGGCTCTCCCAACTCACCATTCTCATTCTCTGTTTGGGCCCTGGGGATGGGAAGATTGATTAAGTCTCACCCAGCATAAGCCACTCCTGAAACAAGTGCAATGAAGTCAGGTTTAATTTTCAGATTCCTTTGCCCTCACACAAGGAGGAGGCCACCTGGCTCCAGTGAACACGTGTGAAACAGAAACCAGGGCCACTGCAAAGCCACCACCCACTTGAGAGGGCTTGTTACTGGACCACGTGACTCAGATGGGCCTACTTTGGGCCTTTAGTCAGATTTAGAGAAAACCCCTGCCTTATCCAACCAATGTGCAATCAATTTCTATGCCATGCCAGGTGTGCAAAAAGCCAGTCACATGTCCAAATGATGAGTCAAAATCAAGGCATTGTGGGTCCGCCTCCTCCAGAGGGGAGCCACATTCTCAGGACCCTGAGGAAGCAGGCATTTTCAAGTGGCTCCTTTACATTAGGCAAAATGTGGCCCTCTCAGTCGGGTCTGAAGCATCATTTGTGTGTGAGCCCGACCCATGGGGGACCTCTGGCTGCCAGGACCACGACGTGGAGAGCCTCCTGGTGCAGATGGCAAGGTGGAGGGCAGAACTGCAAAATCCAGGCCTCCAGTATGGATGTGATTCCCACAGAGTTCAGTCCCCTTTATTTACCCAAGTCCCACAGTACAAATCCCTGGCCTGCCACCCCCCAAATCGACCGAGCTCCTGATTCTTGCTCCCCTGATCACGGTGTCGTTCTCTGCATGATTAGCTGCTGGTTCTCCAGACACTGCTTCAGCTTGTCTTCTGTCAGTGTCAACCGCTGCTCCAGGATGGAGACTGTCTGCAAAATAAATAGTGGTTGGGTCAGAACACAGAGGGGCCACCAGGCTGCCCCAGGGACCCCTTTGGCCAGTTGCCACTTGGCTGCCTCAGCCACTGCCCAAATGCCAATAGTTGGCTCTTTCCACCTAGGGATTCTGTCAGGCCCCTTGTCTCTGGTGCTACTGGGACAGCCCTTGCCTTTATGTCTGCTCCTCCAGGCTCTGGATGGCTAATCTCTGATGTTTGTGGGCAGGGGGTAGGGACACAGTTAGGGAAACTAGATGGCAGGTCCCACAGCCTTTGGTTATTTCCCAAGAGAACTAAGGGGTCAGTAATCCCCTGCACTAGTGGCCTGGCATTTACAATGGAGTTCTGGACCAAAACCAGCTTCTTGTCTAAGCCAGGCTCTGTCCATAAACAACTAGAGACCATCAACCACCTCCAATCCAGAGGTGAGAAAACTGCACCCACAAATGACAGCACTCTACTTGGGTCCTTCCCCTCACACCTGGAAGAGCCTCCAAGGCTGGCAGGCGACAAAGGCAGAGAGGTGAGTCCCCTGATCCCCAGGAGGGTCTCTGACTGTTCAAGTTCAACCAACGCTACTTTAGGATATGTCATCTGGGAGTTCAGCCCAGGGCAATCACAGGTCAGTGACAACTCCATCTCCCTGAGCCCACTTTCTCCTCCCAGGGCAAAGGACAACGCCAAGCTAATGGCCGAGGTAACTCAGCAGCCCAGCAGTTGTTCAGCTCAACCCTGTTGGCCACTCTGACCATGCTTGTCATCATGCTGCCTTCCTGAGGCGGGGTCCTTGCTCTCCTGGCCTCTCTTACACACCCAGCACAATGGCTCACCTGTGGACCTGGCTGCCTGGCCTGCCAAAAGCCCCCAGCCGCTGGAGCTGTGTGTGCTTCATGGACCAGGGCCCGTCTTGCAGACATAGCTCCCAGACAGGCTGGGGAAAGCTGCTCTCCTCCTCTGGCTTTGGACAGAGTATCAGCAGAGGGACAGCACTGTCTGGGAGCCTGCGTGCTTGCCCCACTCATCACTTGTGTAGGTTAGACCATGCTGGTCAGGACGCCTCTGCCATCATTTCACTTCCCTCTTTAGGGCTGGCTGAGTGCCTACTGTATACCAGGCCCCCACTGGCCACTGGACGAGCCCACTGTGAGGATGGCTGCCTCAACTCCTGCACCATGCAGCCCACAGGCATCAGGAGGGCCAGATTAATGTCACCCATGCGCTTCCCCAAGAGGTTTCGCCCCCTTCCCTGAGGCTCCATGAAGGCCTATGCCTTGGTCCAGTGGAAAGGAAACTTTTCCTTCATACATTTAATAAAACACTGAAACATTTCAGGAGGGAGTTTCCTCTCTAAGCCTGCTATAAACTCTTGCAGCGTCCTGCACGGATGTCAGCTGCCATGAAGGGTGCTCTGCCTGGTGGCTGGCCCCTTCTAAATGAGCCAATCAGGGCTATGATGGCTCTGATCCCTCTGTCACTGGACAGAGCCTGGAGAAATTGCTACCCATGGAACACGAACTGCACCCTGAGAAGCAGAGCTAAGCTGAAAGAGACCCTCACATTCCCCCTGTGCTGGCCAGCCAGCCGGGGGCAGTGGGGGTGTGTGCAGCTTGTAAAAGTGGTGGCGGAAATGGCCCCCAGCTGGCCTGGGACAGCATTCCTGGAAGTTTCCACTGGCTGCTGTGAAACTTGCAGAGCCAAAAGCATTCTTCATCCAGACTTTTTCCGATGGCCCTACACTAAAGGCCACAGCAGAAGAGCCTGTTTTTCCTCTTCTGCCTTTATTTTTTTTTCAAACTTTTCACAGGAACCCAATTTCCAATCGTGGAGATAGTGGGCCCAGAAAATGTGGGTGAGGTGCTGGGCAACATCAATACCGGGGCCTCCACTGAGTTCCATAGGGGGCCCATACTTCAGCTCAGTAGCAATGTGACCACTAGACTGTCTATATTAAATTCTTTCAACAGTGAAGCATCACCTGTTTCACAACCAGCCCCTGCATGAAGGGTACTGGCCCGGCTGAGGCCTTCCTCTCAGAGCTCTGAGGATCACTTCACAGCACAGTAGACAAACAGGCTTTTACGAGCCCCGACACCCCTCAAGGCAGCACCTCCCCCGCTTCTCCCCCTCCAGCCTAGCTTCAGAGGAGCCCTGTCGTCTCTGTGTTTGGTCTCAGCTTCCCCTGTTCCTCTGCCAAGGTGCCGGGTGGTGGCCACCATCAGGGAGAAGTCTACCAGGCCCTTCTCAGCACGTGATCCCAGCCACGCCCACTTTGAGCAGGAGGAGGCCTGGGAGAGCAGGATGCGTTCTGGATTTCTGTACATTAGAATGCTGTCTGGCATTCTCTGCTCCACGTAGTTAAAAAAAAATCCTACTTTCTTAAATATTTTTATATTTTTCTTAAAATTCAAATTTTCTTAATAAAGCATAGGGCCTCATTTTCACAGAAAATGGTGACTCCTCATGGAAAGTGCAACATGGAACTGCTGCTCTCAGATGTTGTTGCTGTGCCTTCCCCCTACAAGGGGAAGGAAGGGGTTCCCCCGTGATGGAAATGCCTCAATGGGCATCCAAGTGGCAAAGTGGAGACACATTCAGGGCTGGTGGCACACACAGGCAGGAGGGCTGGCAGGCCACCTGCAGGGAGTCTGTCTGGACCACAGGCCCACAGCAGCCAGGACAGGCCACCACAGTACCACTGTGCTTCCCCAGCTGCACTGGGGCTGTGGGAGGAGGGCAGAGCATCTGAGACAGCAGAAGGGGTACATGGGGGGCATCCCTGGCATGGACTGGTTTGGAGCCACATCACGTGACCTTGTTCAGAACATGTGTGACCTTTACCTGTTGGTTCAGAACAAAAAGTAAGGACATCCCCATACCAAGGTTCAGAAAATACATGCCACCTCAGTGTGCACAGGCCGCTGCTGTTCCCTCCTGCTGCCCACTGACCCAACCCCCAGCGAAGCCCAGCTAAGGAGGCTGCTCTCCTGGCCTCGTGCTCTATCCACCCCAGGAATTTTCCTCCTACACAGCACCTGTCCTCGCCAGGCTGGAGACATGGTCACACCTACCCTGGAGGGTGAGGAGGAGCGCTCTGCAGCCTCCTTGGGTCCACACTCCACAGCCTGGCAGCCAGGACTTTCAAGGGCAAATGAGCACTGACCTTCCCAACAGCTCCTTGATCACCCTGCCTCTCACCCTGCTCTGTACAGAGGAGCAGGAGCCAGAGGTCTGGTCCCAGAGCTTCAGAAAGTCCCCAAAGAGGTACAGGCCGGGTCGGGTGCCAGGCGTCAACAAGGGAAACTGCTTTGCCTGATACAAGTGTCCATGGCTTCTGGCTTTGGGGCAGGGTAAAGGGAACCTGAAGAAGGGGTTGAGGAGTCCAGGGCTCTGACTGCTGGGGGTGGCCGGCCTGGGCAAAGTGGCCAGGAAAGATGGCCCATCTCCCAAAACTTCCTCATGCTGGAGTCCAACTCCCCTACGATGCGGTCCCTTCTGTTTGCCAACCTCATTTGCCAACGAGGAACCAGGCAGCTCATTCTCTCTGCCCGGACCCGGTGCTGCCCTGGAATGATTCATAAGTCTCTGTGTAGTTGGGGTGTGGGGCTTTGACATAAGGGAACCCAGTAGGAGGTCCTGGGACTGGGCTCAGGGGGGTTCTCCCTGATGATTCTTGACACCCTCTGCTCCACAGGCTTCTCTTGGCAGCTGACTTTCACGGAGCACTCGTGTTGTGCTAAAAACTTCAACAACCTTTCAGGGTAGGAGCTTTCATTATCCCCATTTTGCAGATGAAGAAACTGATGCACAGTGATATTAAGTAACTTGCCGAAAGTCACACAGCTTATCAGTGCCAAGCCTAGGCTGATGAACCCAGGTGGCCTGGCTGCAGTGTGCACGCTAAGGCACAGAGCAGTGTGCATCTTGGCTCTGTCCCTGTCAAGAATGTCAAAGGAGAGGCCTGCTGGTGTCCCACCCCACTTCCAGCCCTGATGCCCAAACCCAGGCAGCCTGAGGAGAGACTCAGGGATCCCTGTCCTTACCCAGTGGCACCTGCTATCCTGGTTTAGGCTGCCTGGGCCTAGCTGCTCTGAATTAAATGAGCAGAAGTTCTTACCTCAGCCACAGTGGCCATAGATAGCCCCCAGGGTCACTCACCCCTTCACACTGTCGGGCCTCACATGTCACCTCCCCCTGAAAAGCAGTCTCTTACCTGGCTAAACATTCGGGTTTGAAATTATGACAAAGGTCATAAGAATAATTCACCTGAGTCATGAAAACTCAATGTTATAGGAACCGAAAGGACACACTGACAGGAACCTCCTACTGGACGCGCAACAAGAAACTGCCCCAGTGGCTTCACTGTCAACGCCTTCTTCCAGCGGGCTTTGTGCCACTGCAGCATTAAGTGAGCAGTCCCAAAACATGCTGTGGAACTCACCTGGGTCACTGCTGGGTGCCCCATCCCTCAAAGACAAGGTTCACTTGTAAACAAGGTGCCTCCCTCCCAAATCGGAGTGACAGGAAGCCAGAGTGAGCACCCTATGGCCTGGGCACTGTCACTCCTCACCCAGTACTGTCCACCTCCCAGGTCAAGGCCCTCAGGGCCAGTGTCAGGAAGCCTCATGGGGTATGGCCAGCAGGGCTCCAGAAGTTTTATCTTCGAAGTCACATCTGCCCGAGGTTCACCAGGGAGCTCATTTCTGAACCACCTTTTCCTACTCTGTTACCGGTAATTTCTGGGAAGCCATGACCCTTCTCAAAAAACCTTGACTTTCATATCACTTGTTTGCCATCGAATGTTGTCATGTTCTGTTGTTTCTCTAGACCAAGGGTTGGCAAACTACAGCTGCAAATAAGGTTTTATGGACATGCCCACTGGCTTCCATATGGTCTCTGGCTGCCTTCTGGGTACAACGGCAGGCTGAGTAGTGGTGACAGAGGTTGTTTGGCCCACAAAGCCTAGAATCTTTACTGTTTAAATCTGCTGACCCT